TTATTTCATTGGATTGTCCGCAAAATTCGTGTCGATTCAGAAGATTGAAATGCAACAGACACATTTAAGTTTATTTTTTTTTTTTTTTTTTTAATAAATATTTATTTAATTATATTTACATGAGTACCATTTTACCGTTCCACAACCTTTCTTCATTTTAAAGAATACCTTCAAAATTTTCTTCCTTCAAAACTTATTCAGGTTTTTCGAAAAAAAAAAAAAAAACACTTTATACCACCTACCAAAAATCGGCACAAACTTTCCGAACAACCCAATATTATACTTTCTTTTTATTAACAACCCTTTTATTTTTACAACAAATATAACTTATGATTTTTTACTAATGCTGTTGATGTCAGATTTAAATCGTAACGAATGAATTTTTTATTTTTATAAGACTGAAATAGTAACCAAAAACATAATGACAGGTTCATATTTCGAACGTATGAACTTTCATGCGTATCAAAATTAACGATACCATAGAAATATCCATTGGAATGATTCCAATTCGATTATTTATGAAACAGGAACTTACTTAAGGGAATTTAGAGTATCACCAAAACCACCCTTCTACCACCCACTACCACTATCTCACGACACTTTTAATTGAACTATCGAAATCGATTGCGTGTTTTCTAAATGAAATTGAAATTACACCATAAACTTAACGACAAAATAAACCCCGTCACTTTTTCTTTTCAAACCAAATCTCCAGTTAAAAATGAAGATAATCGAGAAAGAAGAAAATAGAAAATAGACAGACAGAGAGAGAGAGAGAGAGAGAGAGAGAGAGAGAGTGAGAGAAAAGAAGGGGAAAGGGGAGGGGATAATTGAATGTCATTTTGGTTGGGACAATAAACGATCAGTATCAAATCGTTTAACAACAATTTTCTCGAACTATTGTACAAATTACTTTTTTTTTTTTTTTTATCAACTAATACGATCTATGATGAGTTTCAATTAGATATTTTAGATCCAATGATCTCGATTTATCAATGAAAATATAAAATAAAAAATAAAGTAAACATTTGTTGAAATATTTGTGAGTAATAATAATAATAATAATAATAATAATAATAATAATAATAATAATAATAATAATAATAATAATAATAATAATAATAATAATAATAGTAATAATGCTAATAATAATAAAAAACTAATTTGAATGACGTCAAGATGTAGGAGGACGAAAATGTTCATGGGTTTTATATATATATATATATATATTTTAGTAAAATGATACACCACCTTCTCTCTCTCTCTCTCTCTCTCTCTCTCTCTCTCTCTCTTACTCTCACTCGTGAGAAATTCTACTCTTTTGACTTCCTTTGATCACTTTGCAAACGTGATATCGATCACTATGTCTTTCCTACGTTAATAAACGAAGTGTACTTAATTTGCAAAGAGTGCTCGCCTTATACTAACATATACGCTCTAACTATAGGTTGACTATAGTTTTTTTTAACAAAATTGAAAAAAAAAAAAAAGAGGAAAGAAAGAAAACCATTTTTTTTTTCTTTTTTTGCGAAAAATATCATATACTGAACAAAATACAATTACAAAACAGTTGATCAAAAACGAAAAAAGGAGAAAAAACAAATTGAGAAATGAAATGATCAAAACAAAATGAGAATGAGAAACGAAAAGATAAAAACAAAAAAAAAATTAAAAACAAACGTGAACCCCGATTGTTATGAATTTAAAAAAAAAAAAAAAGTAATAATAATAATAATAATATTTGTTTTCCATCAAAGATAAAAGAAACGATGAAGAAACGAAGATGGGGGTAAAAAAAAAAAAATAAAAATTATAGACAGATGCTGGACGAACGGAAAAGGAGAAAAGTAGTGAGGAGTGGGGAGGGTTAAAAGGGGTAGTTTCTCGAGGCCGTTTTACGAGGTCATCTAATAAAGATAACGGATAATCGAACTGTCGTTACCCGTCGGTAGCACTCGTGCCAAAGAACGAATTGACAAATACATATGCTCGATCTTCAACAAGCTAGCAGAAACTATCGGGAAAATCGAATGAGAAAAAAAAATATATATATATATATATATATATATATATATATATAGTTATGTTGTAAATAGTATGACAGTAGAAAGATGATGATGACTATAATGATTGCCAAACGAATTTTCATATTATCCTTTCCTCGATTATCACATTAGTTCACTTTTTTATACGTGCAATACAATCGGCAATAATTTTAATATTTAATATAATAAATATTTGGAAAATTAATACAAAATTACAGAAAATATGTTTATAATAATATATTTATACAACAACAACAAAATCTTTTATCCTTACAATTTTCTTCTACCATTTTTTTTAATTTTTTTTTTTATAATTATCATTAAAAATAAAATATTTTATAAAAACACACACATGAGTTCTTTAATGTTTTAGTAAAAAAAAAAGAAAAAAAAATTATGCAGTTGTATTATAATATTAATATTGTATATATTAAATAATTTATTACCGATCGATAACGGGAGCAGATTAAAAATAAAATTAAATAATAGTTTAATATAATAAATAAATAAATAAATAAATAAATAAATAAAAAGAAAGAAAATATATATGTTTAAATGTAAACATTGCATAAATCTACACAACTAATTAATTATTAAATATGTCTATTATAATATGTAATGAAATCAGCTCTTAATTCATAAACAACAGCGCAATTAAACTTCTACATAATGCAATTAACTTAAAGTAACTATATGTATATATATATCTTATCTATCTATCTATCTATCTATCTATCTATCTATATATCTATGTATGTACATAACACACTATTAAAAGTTTAGCTAACTGATTCTCCGAATCAGCTAAACTAAAGGAAGAACGAGATGAACGAAATGAACGAATCAGCCCCAACTAATCGAATGTTGAGAAATCGAGTACGATGAAAACTTGTTAAAAAAAAAAAAGAGAAAAAACAGAGAGAGAGAGAGAGAAAGAGAGAACTATGTTTCAAAAAACAAGAAACTATACACCATTGTAATATTTTGTTTTATTTGTTAAACAAATAGATCAAGAACTTAAAAAAAAAACAAACAAACAATTAATTTCTCTCAATGTAAGAAATAGAAAAATTGTTAGTTAAAATTTGAATAATAATTTTTTTTTGTTTACGATTTAATTAATTAAAAATTGTTTATAATTTTTGTATGGATAAATAAGATAAATAAATAAATTGAAAATTATTAGAAATATTGTAATATTTTTGGAAATATTTCGTGTTGGACGTACGAATAGGGCCAACGACGCATTTTCATGACAACACGATGAGAGAATGATGATGACGATGACAAGATGATAATGATGAGATGGAAAGGAGAGAGAGAGAGAGAGAAAGAGAAAGAGAGAGAGAAAGAGAAAGAGAGTACAAAAAACTAAAGCGAACGAAGCCTTTCAAGCTCGAAGGAGTTAAAAAGGGTTTATCGAGCAAAAGAGGTTTATCGGTCACAGAGCTAAAATATGTATATGTATATGTATATAAATATATATATATATTTATATATATATTTTATGTGTGTGGTATATACGTGTATATGTAGTATTTACGAAGAAGAGGTCCTCGAAAAAACAAAAAAAATTATTCGACCTATACCAAGAGAGCTTCTACCATTTAAAAATATAAATAAATATTATTATTAAAAAAAAAAAAAAAATAAAAAGAAACGATTATAAATAACAAATACCAAGTTAATAAAGAAAAAAACAGTTGAAAATGAAATTTTTAGCGTTAAAATTTGACTACGAAGAATAAAGTTCATTTTTAACTATGCACAATATCCAACCATATGGGTTGTTTTGTTGTTGTTGTTGTTTGTTGTTTGTTGTTTGTTTTTGTTTAACTAGAAATTTGTCAATCACTACGTGTAAAATTGAAAATGCAAAAGAATATGAGAAAATTATTGAGTTACTTTTTTTTTTTTGGTTCTGTTTTTTTTTTCCTTCGATTGACACATTATTTATATATGACGTGACGATCTTTAAGTATTAATATAATTCGTATGTTTTTTTTTTTTTTTCAATCTATTTATCATTCTAAAATATATATGTAACAATTTATCACAAGTAAATATATATATATATATGTATAAATTGATTAGGAGAAATAAAAAAAAAAGGATTTAGTATCAAGAGAATAAAAAAGTGTGTATACTACTTTCTAAATAAACAAAAAAAAAAAAATTTACGATAAAAAAGATGCCGAGCAGCTAATAAAGCGACGATAATAATTAAACAACAACGAAGTGGTTTTATTGTTTTTGAGATGTGTAAAATTATTATTTAGTCGATACGTCTATCCGCATAGATATTTGTATTGTGAGTATAATTAAATAAAAAAAATATTTGTTTAACAAAATAAATAAATCAATCGAAATAATTTAAGCAGCGATAGAATAAAATATTTTGTCCTTTTGCAAATATGTTCACTATGTTAATTATAAATTACAAAAATCAAAGCTCTAAAAATAAAATATTAATAAATGTACAAATAAAAAAAAATTAAAGCAGCAAAAAACAAAAAAGAAAAAGGAATATATAACAAATATGAAATAAATTAAAAAAAAAAAAAAAAATTGGTAGCGTGTAAAAAAAGATTGAATTCCACTTTGGACGACAGATACGATCACGATCTGCGCCTAATATTTAAATAATTATTGTAGTATTGTATTAAAAAAAAAAAAAAAAAACAAATCAACCGTTTGAAATTATTTAAAAGACGTACAAATATTTGTCATAAATTGAATTAAATTTAATATGATCAATTGCTTATTATTTCTTTTTTTTTTTTATATTTATATTTATCAATGATTAAATTAAATTTCTTTAGTCACGAATATGCGAATATAAATATATATATATTAATTTTTATAATAAAAAATATTTAATATACCATGTATAATATCACATACAACATACATATAAATATTCGTGTAAGAAAAAAGAAATATATTTATAGAGATGATAGTAAAGAAAGAGAGAAAAAAAAGACCCCTTTTACTCGATCCACCATTACCGATCGATCGGTTCTTTTTTTAATGGTTCACTATAATTAAATCTTCGATCCCTCTCTCCCAAACCTTTTCCAAACCTTTTTGTTTTTATTTCGATCGACTTGGAGAAAATTCGAGGTTTTTTTTGTTTCAAGGCTAACATACATTTTTGTTATTTGTTTTTTTTTTTTTTTTTAATTACTTCTCTCATTTATGCATTTCTTTTACAGATTATTTTTTTTTTGTTTTTTTCTTTTATGGTACTTCTAATTTCTCGATTTTTTCTTTTTATTATTTTTATTATTATTATCTCGTTGTAGTAGTTTAATTTTATTATTATTAAAACGAACGAACATTATGTACAAAAAATTTCTTCCCGGTCGATCGATTTATGCATATCGATATTACATGTTTCATCGATTGATTTAATTGTGGGTTTAATTAATGGATCGTTGATTAATCATTTGTTTCATAATATTCGTGGAATATTTTTCTCAGCCTCGTACCTTGGGCAAATCGCCCCTGTTGCTTTCTTCACTGCTCGTGAAGTTGCTTGACGTGTCAATACCGGAATCTTTAGTTGCGCTGTCTTGACTACCATCTTGCCGACTATGATCGGTAACTTCCCATGACCAATCATCCTCTTGATGGCTGCTGCTGCTACCAATATTGGTCCCACCGTAAAATCGTACCGTCTTTTTCCCCCTTCTTTCCGTAAACCTGATTAGCAGACATAACTCCCATATAGAATTTCATGGTTTTTCTTTTTTTCTTTTTTTTGGGAATTTATTATCAATCTTTTTTCGTTCTTCGTTCAATTTATTCATTTTGTTCTTCTTCGTGTCAATGTTCTTTTTCTAATTTCTCTTGAATATTCTTTTTTTTTTGTTTGTTTGTTTTCCCTTTTCTTCATTTTATGAAAATTCGACTTGGTGACGTTCGTCGATAAGTAAAAAATACAAGAAAATAAATTGTAAATTACGGTCCTTTGTTTGAAAATTAATTTGTTTTTATTTAAAAAAAAACACACACACACACAATAACCCGTGATTTTAAATATAGAAAAAAAAAAAATAAAGCAAGGTTTCAAACATGTTTTTGCAAATCGACAAATTCAAAATATTAACAATAATGAATTTAAACAAATAAAAAAACAAATGAATACTTTTAAGATGACTACTTTGATATTTGAGCTACCATTTGTTGACGTGAAAATATTTCTAAGATCTTAACAGGTAATACTTAAGACAATCGATAGATCGATAGATAATCGAAATAATAACCTAAGATTAATATCACATAAATTACAAACCGTATCAACTTTCTAAAGGTTACGGGGATGGATCATACGGTCATTTAGATCAGCTTCTTCTAACGAGCGTTAAAGTGACTTGCGTTGGCGTTTATATACGCCTCGATGCTACCCCATCTCGTCTGCTATGTCTTTGATAATAAAACTTAGTAAAAGGAAAAGAATAATAATAATAAAAAAATAAAGAAAGAAAGTAAACGATCGTTTGCACGTATTCTTTTTCTTCATCTAACACGACCTCGATAATATCCTTTTCAGTTTTAATTTTTCAAAGAAAATACGCGATCAACGTTATTTCGAAATACGGGTCGAACGTAATCGAGTATGAACAAAAGAAAAGATTATTTTCTTCTGTTTTTTTTTTTTGTTTTTTTTTTTAATTTTAATCGATCAATTATATTTCAATCTTTAAAACAAAACAAAATCATTTCAAGGATTGTACCTCAAACGTTAACACTGTAATGGCCGCACGTCTTCGCAGTCAAACCACGCCAAGAGCCGATAAGATTTGTGAAAAATTAATTTGAAAAAACTTTATTAAATTCATTAAAAAATTAACATAAAAAAGCAACAACAACAAATTTAATTTGATATAATTTTAAATATATAAAAAGTTATAAATAAATAACTGTTGTTCCAGCTATTACACACATGTTGTCTGAGCGGCCATTAAAGTGTTAATCAATAAATTAATTAATATCTAATTTAATTAATTTTTTTATTGTGTGTGTTTGATTTTAATCGATCCTTTGTTTCTACTTTTAGAAAAGAAAAGAAAAATATAACAATAATCGTATTTATTAATTAATAATAATTTGTTATCAAAATTCGTGATCGAAAAATCAACGTACGCGGTGAAATCAAAAATTCTCATTTCCCCTTCTTTTTTTTTATGGAATATCTATTTACTAATAAAAAAAAAAAAAAAAGGAAAAGAAAAATAAAAAGAAGAATGGCGTATGATGATAACCGACATTTTAAAACGCACCTCCTACTATCGGCACGCCATTCGTCGCCATTCCTCCGGAAACTTCGTCTGACGATTGTGTGCAGTTCTTTTCGTTGATCTCTCGTTTGATGATTGCCATTAAATTCGATATTGATAGTACTCGTAATGGGTAGTTGCCCATTATGGGTAGCATTCTTCTTCGTACGTGTATCCTTGTTCACAGCCATTGGACCATCCATCTTAGGGAAGTACTCCTTTCCTATATAGTTTACACGTTTATGTTACATCATCCAACCAATGTTTTCTTCACCCTTTTTCTATTCATTTTTATTTTTATTTCACTTTTTTATCTTTTTTTGTTTTTTTTTTTTTCATCGATCGGATGATATTTATAACTCTCATCGAATTGAACGTTTCGCTAAAACCATTTGTCTCTATGTGATTTTCCTTCGGTTTTTTATTTTATTTTATTTTATTTTATTTTATTTTTATTTTTTTTATGGGGAAAAAATATCGTAAAGAACAATTGTTATCATGGGAATTATCGCAATTTCACAATTGTGAATACAATTTTAATTTTTTAATTATTATCATCGTAATTAATTAAATTCAATTTTGATAGGAGAAAATAATTAGGATATTTTTAATTGATATTGAACTTAAAAATAAATAGAAAAACAAAATAGGGGAAATTAAGGGATCCTTCTTTTTTTTTTTTTTTTGATATCTCCAATAATTTATCCAAATTGTTGTAATCTTCTTTTCTCTGTTAATTGACGCAATAATAATTATTTATTTTTTTTAAAGAAAATATTCAAAATCATCAAACACATTCTTCGTCAACTCGTGTGACCTTCCAATTTTCATATCCTCGTTTTTGATCAATTTTATATTCTTCATCTGATGTTCCATGTCATCAAAATTTTCACCAATAAGAAATTTCATCTCGTACGCCTCACGAAATTTATGTAATTCGAAATTTAAAAAAAATCATTCTCAAGAAATTCTCATATGAACGCAAAATGTTTTGCTTTGTATCAAAAGTACTACAATATAATAATAATAATATAAGTATAGTGTGTTGTTTCATGGTATACCATAGCTCAGCTGTATGGGAAATAACAGGCACGTGTATATATGTATATCTATGTCTATACGCGTGAATTAATAAAATATATAATTTTGTTTGACGTGTGTGTGTGTGTGTGTGTATATATATATGTGCGTGCATAATCGTGAGTATACATGTATACATCTATTATAGTATAAGACACACAAAACATTAACATATAAAAGGTATCCCAATTTGTGTGTGTGTCCAGAAAATTTTACTAACATTTTTTATAAGTAACAAAATAATAACAAAATGTTACATTAATTATATATTTAATTTTAATTATTAGTTGTTGTTTCATATTTTTATTACAATGTTTTAATGAAACATTTTAAAAGTTCACGGTTTTTGTAACATTTGATTTTCTTATTTTTTTACTTATAAAATATGATAATAAAATTTTATGAAAAATTACTAGGAAACATCCTTTTATATATATAAAAGGTTATATATACTTAATCGTAAGCGTTTACGATTAATTTTGTCCGATGTGTTGGCACAAAGAAAAAAAATATTCCAAGCGACGTTCTCAAGTGTTGTTACATGATATATATATATATATATATATATTTATGTATACATATACTAAATATGTATATAGAACTAAATTACGTAGCAAGGGGATTTGTGCGTGTTGAACAAAGTGTAATAATAATAATAATAATAATAATAATAATAATAATAATAATAATACGAGTTTAAAGACGTAAACGAAGATAAAAGTTTCCACTGAAATCAACTCGAATGGAAAATACTCAAATGCGAATTCTCAAAGTTCTAATAACACAATACAGCATATGTTCATTTTAATTATTATCATTTTCCTAATAAACTATAAATATATATAAATCCGACATTTTTTTTTATAAAAATTTATTCGATTTACCAAATAACTTATTCAATTGTACACAAAATTCTAAAGATAATTGAAAATAAATATATAATAAAAATATCATTTGCTTTATTAAAAAAAAAAAAAAAAAAAAAAAAAACCAATATAATAAAAAATTAAATTTCTATTTTAAAAAGAAATAAATTATAAATCGAGTCATGTGTAATCGTTAATATAAATTATTTCAAAGATCGATAGTACTAAAATGAAATAAATGATTTGATAATTTTTTTTCTTTAATAAAACGACGAAATTAAATTGGACAAAAATTGACGAATTGAAATGTTTTCTTTTTTTTTTATAAATCAATACAATTATTGTAGGATATTCTTTTATACAAAAAAAAAAAAAGAATATTAATACAACTAAAAAAAAAACACGAAGTCGTCGTAACACGTACAAATAAATAAGCATAGAAATAGATAATCTTTCGAAATGGAAAATCTGTAATCGATCGGGTGTTGAGCACTGATATACGTGTTACGTGACAAGATAGAAAGAGAGAAAGAGAGAGTGAAGTGTGTAAATAGAGACAAGAGCATATATCTATATATATACACAAACATATAGATATATATGTATATATATATATGTGTGTACGATTCGTAGTAGCCGTCCAAAGTAGAACAAATCAAATCCGTTGCAATTCTGCCTCGTGTACCCACCCACACTAACATATACTCACTCATACACATACACACACGAGTATAAAATTATTTTAACAAAATAAAAAAAAATAACAAAAATATATATATATATATGTATATAAAAATACAATTGTTGTACGTAGTGCTTTGTTGAAAATGCGAAAACAATCGACCGCAATGGAGACTCCGGTGGTCAACGAGCGAGGGCAAAATCTTTTTTTTTAACCAATCCCCAGATTTATTTACACATTTATTTATTTATACGCGTATAAACAACGATAAAAAAAAAAAGAAAGAAAAAGAGAGAAAATATCAAAACCACCCTCTGACATTTAGTTGCATTTCTTTCTCTCTCTTTCTTTCTCTCTTTTTCTCTCGAAAATTTTGGAGACTCGTCGATTAGCGAAATTTCGCAAAAAAAAATTTACAAAAACAGGAAAARAAAGAAAGAAGGAAAGAAATGGAAAAATTGACCCAATCGTAAGCTCATTTTGGTGCACCCTGAAAAAAAAAAGAAAAAAAAAGAAAAGAAAATAAAAACACCCTTTCACTTCCCCTGACCCCGCTGCCCTACAAATTTGACGATGGAAATCGCATCGTGAATGGTTGGACCAAAAAAGGAGAGAGAAAAAAAAAAATACAAAAAAATAAAACGAAAAAAAAAAAAGGGTCACATGCGACGAGACAAGAAAGATTCCATTTTCTATCTCTCTCTTTACCATTGGCATCTGCCACGATGCGACGGAAATAACAATAATAATAATAATAATAATAATAATAATAATAATAATAATAATAATAAAAAGAGGAAAGAGGACGAGAGGGAAGAAAAAAAAAAACGTAAAAAAAAGAAGAAAAAATCAAATAAAAAATAAAATAAAAAAAAAGAAATGGAAACGAGAACGCGACGACAACGATCCTTTTTTTTTTTTCCTCCTTTTCATTTCAGGACGAAATTTTTCTTTGCAAAAATTCGCGTGACACAAACACACATACACACACACACACAGAGACATAGAAACAGCACCACGCAAGAGATCGTTTGGCAGATGACGTATACACGCACATGCATACGCACACGCAAGTTAGATTTATGCATATACATGTATACATATATATATAAACATTTTTCTATTGTCATTGTTTATTATATATGCATGTATGAGTGCTTTGTAATATTATTGCTAAAAAAAAAAAAATTAACATACGTGTAGTTTAACATATATGTACTTCTTCGTGAATAAAATAAAAACAAAAAAAACAAAAAAATTGTGCTAGTAATTACAAAAACCCGACCAAATCGTAAAATAACAAATAACAAATTTATTTTATGATTTATTTAACAATATATTTAATCTCATCTGCGATAGTATAAATAAATAAATCATAAAACTAATTTATATTCTTATTTTTATGAATTATTGTTAGTGAGATCACTTTCGTAATTATCAGCATGAATATTAATTAATTAATATATATATATATATATGAATTAATTAATATCATTATTGTTATTATTATTAAATATATGTGTTATAGCGGAAGACGATCTGCCTTATGTACTATATATATATATGTAAATATAAAATATATATTTGGGTACATATTGTGTGTGTAATTTGCAATTTTTGGTTAAAATATACATAAAAAAAAAATGAATGATTAGATAGGTACCCCGAAGATTTGGCGATTCATTCTGTCCCCGGACTTCTCCATAGCATTCCTTGAAGTGACCACCATGGTGTGCGGTTTCTCTCCTAAAAACGGCGATATCTCTAATTGAGACAATTATTTATTTCTTTCATTTAACAATTCATTTATTTTTCACTTGTTTTCTCAATTGAGAAACGATAATTATTTTTCTCTTTAGTTTTTTTTTTTAAATCTTATATCTATATCTATATATATATATATTGCCTGTTGAATTCATCATATAAAAAATCATCAAAGTTTAACCATACATGGGACAAAAATTAATTCTACTTAAAGAAAGAAAATAAAACAAAAATTAAATATTAATAGTAATAAATTATGCACACAGAATTCATCATATATTTATTGTCTCCTTTTTTGTATTGAAATGTAACATACTACACACACAAAAAAAAATGATAATTAAATATTTATTTGGCAAGAAAGTAATTTCGGTTTTTTAGGTTGAAATAAAGCTCAATTGTTACTAAACTAACAGTTGTAAACAAAATTACATGGAATTTGTTTCCATAGCAACCTAAAAAGTGTCAACTACCAAACCACAATAGAACAAAATTCTAACATTAACAAAAAAATAATGAAACAAACATAACTTTATCTATTGGTGCAAGCTGAAATTACTTTCTTGTCAACCCAATAAAAAGGAAAGAAAAAAAGAGAGATAAATAAGCTTGATTATAAAGAGAGAGAGAGAGAGAGAAAAAAAATGAAAAATATTTTCAAACGTATTATATATAAAGATAATTTACAAAAATCAACACCCTCTATCTCTCTTATCGTTAGAGTATTACTCTTTGAGTATTATTCTTCATTAAATCGTAATATATGAAGTAAAAAAAAAAAAAAGAAAAAAGAAAACTAAAAAAAAAGCATGGGGTAAAAGTCGATAGTTT